TTTCTGGTTCCCAAGTTAGCGACCTTCTCGCCAAAGCTTTCACCCTCATACGCGGAGCCCAGGCTTGCGTGAGAGTCGGTACTGCGGTCCTGGAGTGGCACTAGGTCGGGGGCTCACTGGCAAAATTTTGGCGTCGGAGCTTGCTTGGGTGCCGAGTTGAAATACCCGGACAGATGCACTCACACACACACATAGATACATACACAAAGGGGTCGTCAACAGTATGCGTTTTTGCATTTGCATATAAGCAAACGTACATGACCAGCTAAAAGAGTACCAATTGCTGTCATGTTCGACACATCAGTGCGACTTTGTTATTGTGATAGCTCGGGACGTTATTTATCAGTTTCCACTAGTGAAAGCAGATAAGTTTGATAAAAGCCACAATTCATTTTAACTTAATGTGATAAAAACACACCGCACACATCAAATATTGATAGAGTGGGGAATCACAAAGTTATAACCATCATATCAGGCATGTAGGACAACACATGGATAACGTGGTTATTGAATTGTGGTACCCAGACAATTTCCGCCGCACAATGGAAGGCTCTCAGAGAGCAGAACAGCTCAGATTGAACGTAGTTTTGGATTAAAATGGACACGATAAGTTCAAAACAGAGAAGAATGTAGAAGTTATGGACTGCATTGGATGTGAGAAACATGATGATGCGGTAGCAGCTGACTTAAAAATATCAAATTATCAGTTGTCTATACAATAAGTTTTAAATTTGCTGCTATATGTTATTTACGCTGAAACAAGATTTTATCAGCTTTCAGCATCGTGATATTCAGTTAGGAACGCCAGGCAGTTAGTTTCACCAACAGCATGCAAGCAGTATAATCTGGTGGTTGTGACGTATGAGAAATCGCCAGGAGCGCAAATGACGCTAAAAAGACCGCCGATCGAATGTTCTGCGTAGTCCATTATCCTGAGTTTCATCTCATGGTAATCACCAAACATGTTCTGAAAATCCCTTTGTCTTATCAGACTAGCTGACCAGTTGCTTGGATCAAATGTAACTCATAGCCTGGTTCTCAACTATGCCCCTTTCAACGAATAAGACGAATGTCCCTTAAATCCTTTCATGAGAAAAAACGAATGCTAGGATCGCTAGCAGGCTGGGGACCACTGGATATTTGTAAATGAGATAATTGCAGAGGTATTCTTAATAATGAAGGAAAAATAAATACTTGAGTTTGCAAGAGTTGCTGATGTGCTCTCTGCAAATTCCCGAAGGCTTACTTTGGGATAGTTGCAGGCCATTGTGTTCAAGCTAGTGACTGCTTCAAAATATTTTAAGCTTTTTCAAAGAGATCAAAGCAACGATTATCAGACAGAAGCAAGTTTTGGCCAAATTTTTGCTGTCAGACATTTTAACTGGTTCCCGCTTATAACAAAGACACGTATGTCAGTGCCAGACGAATAAGCGAAATTTGTTTTTAGTCAGATGCTTCAGGTTAATTTCTTATTGCCTAATCATTAAAGTCACCACAAACGCCCTAAGATCATAATGTTCATCATGGCTAAGCCACGGCGATTATCCTGGCGAGGCCACAATGGCCACCCTACCAAACGGTATGAAGTCGTGAAATGAGGTCATAAATGCTTTTTCGCTTACTATGA